TTAGATGTACAGAATTTGATCTTTCCTCGTTTTCAAGTTCTAAGGTTTTAAATTTTTTTTAATGTTTTTTCCCCTTAAATGACATAATGATTCTATAGGCACTTGTCAATTGAAATGCCCCATTACTCCCTAAAACCTTCAATTCTAATGCCACCAATTTTTTTATGTAATGTTGTTTTAAGTAAATCTCATTTATATACTTTGACTCCTCCTCCTAATCTCGTTTTGAGATTTGGTTATAATCTTCAAGTTAAATTGTTTTTTTTTTTTTTTGGAGTAATATTTTTCTGTATATTGATCACAGAAAAGGTTTATGAAAATTTGGTGTCTTTGTTATTGATTTGGAACTATTCAGCTATCATATCCGTTGCTCTGTGTGTGTGGGTGTTGGGCAGTAGCATCCTTTCTTTGAAGGTATTTTGGAACCGGCTTGAAGAAAAAACCAAGTATAAAAGTGTTAAGCATCCTTTCTGTAATAAGACCGCAACCATCTAGTTGTTACTTGAAAAGCAGGAAACTGGATGTAGAACCACCAACATAGAGGTAGAACAGGTCATGTAAGAGCAAGCACGAATAAGAGACAAGGGGGCGTGGTCAAAGAATTGATTGAAATGGATGCCGCTAGCTTTCCTACCCTTCTACCTTTAAAATGGCAGGTAGCAAAGGACATATAGACCTTTGGACTCGCTTTCCCGGGTCCTCTACGGTTCCGTTAGAAGGTAAATTGCTTTTTCAAACAGGAAAATGTGGTGTCTGTGTTGTGTACTTTTGTTCATTTATGTTGGGTCAGTCTATCTGCCTACATCTATAATGTATAAATGTTTTGGCACTGTATTTACATGTCATGCTGTTTGTGACTTCCATCCTCTATATCTATGAGAGATATGCAGTATAAAACATTGGTAAGAGAGACTTGAACCTTAGAAAAAGCTACAAAACGTCTGCTAATGTACAAAAACTTTCCAATGTGAATTTTCTACTCAATAACTAAACGACAATTCTTGATCTTTTATAACAGTCTTTAAATCAATCAGCTTGGTAATAATTTTAGTGGATCTCATTATCACATTCAAAAAGTTTCAACTAAAAAAAAAAAAATGGAAGAAGGCAACATGAAAAAGGGACTGACAAACAAATCACACAGTTAAATGTGATATGACAATGGTGGTCGAGTTTACCTTTTGGGATATTTTATCACCCTTTCATTAGGACCACCATACCCCCTATTTACCCTTAGACTAAATACTTTCACCAGTACAACATTTCATTAGGACCATCATAAGTTCGCACCCATCCCCCCATAACTCCTTCAACTCCTCAATCAATGGCCGCTAAGTACATCGATAATCCTTCCAGGTAGCCGATCGTACAGGAATAACAATGACATCATGGAGAAGGCTCCTTTCATACACTTCCATGGTGGGAGGTTTGTAAGGCATTAGGATATATTCAAAATTCAGAATTCAAGCAAACAGAAAGTCCAAGGAAACAGAAATTCAGAATTCAAAATATTATTAAGGATATTGATTTTCAATATCTGTTTCCTTTATACATATATCCAAGGAAATAGAAAGTCCTTAGGACTTATTTTGAATTAGAAAGTACTTTTTCTCATGTTTCATTATTCAGAAACCAGTTCAAATACATATATCCAGTACTCATGTTTCCAATACATATATCCAAGGACTATACACCAATACTCTGTTTCCTTTATTTTAGACTTAAGCTATACACCAAGTCTTGCCCTTTTTGTTCAATCAGGTCTACTATTTCGGAGTAGAAAAAGGGATGATTAAGCAGAAAAAGAGCAGAAAAAGGGAAACACCAGTTAATTGTGGAGGATGATTGATTAAAAAAATCAACACTACAGGCCAAGACATGAAAGACATGAAAGATGTTGCTGAACGGATCACTCCAGCTGAAAATGCAGATGATTTTCTATGTTTTGTCCAATCGTATTCTATCCATTCTAGTTGTTCTTCTCGTTGGTTGGTTGTTCTTATCGTTGGTTGTTCTTAGTTGTTCTGGTTGTTTTACCCAAAAGACAAATCAAAAAAAAAAGAAAAAAGAATGAAACTAAAACAAATGAAATATAGATCTATTCTGGTATGATGCAATAATAATAAGGCCAAGAGAAATAAGTGAACTGTTTGGAACTCATAACACTAAAATTGCTCGAAATGTAAAGAACAAACACATGAGATCCAAAGTCATCAAATGAGAATTACAAATCAGAATAAAATCAAACACAACTAAATTCAATTAGAATCTTATGGTTTAATGAAATGGAAAGCAAATGATTAGAAGCTAAAACAACAACATCAGAAAATGAAAGTGCTGATTGATAGACAGCGAGATTTAAACATAAATTGATGAATCAAAATACATTGAATCCCAGACAGAGAAAGAACAAATTTTATTCCTGGAAAATGTAATTGGAGCGCTATTTGCTTTGAAAGAAACAAAAATGAGAATCACAAATCAGAACTTAATGAAACACAACTAAAAAAATATCAAAAGCTTCAAATTTTCCAAATATTAAGCATATCATCATTCTGACATGGGTAAATCGATTTGATAAATCAGATTCACGATGAACAAATGGAAATGATGGTAGATCTTACTTCGGAGACCGAGAAAACAAACCCAGAAAACATGTATTAGAGAAAATGAGGAACTCCAAATTTTATTGATTGTTTGTGAAAATGGCGACTGGAGCTATTTCGGCATCGTTTACGGCTTTGAAGAGCAAGGACCATGGCTTAGGCAATTAGAATGACTAATAAAAAAACAGATTGATGACTAATATAAATCAGCTCCAAATTCTGAATTCAGACTAATAAAAAACATATTGATGACTAATAAAAAACGTAGAAGCACTGATGACTAATAAAAAATAGATTGATGATTGAGTCAATTTTTATTTACCTTTAAAATTACCAAAGCAAAAAAAAAAAAAAAAGATACAAAAATCCCAATACTCACTGGTTGAGCCGGTAAGGCCAAAAGTGGCTTGCTGTGGCATGACTCGGAGGAGTTGAAAATTTGAAACTTAAGCTAAATTGACTTGGTGAATGGTGGTGCAAGTTGGGTTGCCAATGTGCAATGCAATGGTTGACCTAACAAAAGAAAGAGTTTTTTTTTTTTTTTAATTAATTAATTTATTTTTTTGCCTCATAAAAAAAAAATAATAATATTTTAATCAAGGCGGTGAATTTTTTGATATTTGTGGGCTAAATAATTAATTGTTATTTTAGTTTTGGAGGAAAGGTTAATAAAAGATTACATACATCATTTTTTATAAGATAAAAATTACACTAGCCACTTTTAATATTTAGGCTTAGTTTGGGATTTTTAAAATAAAATAAAATGTCAAAAAGTTACTAAAAATGTTAAAAAATTATTACTATTCATAAAAAAAAATTATAAAAAATTTATTTTTATACAAATTGTGAGACAACTCACTTTGGCGTAAGTTGTCTTTGCCTAACTTTGGTGATGACAAATTACACAGGCGAAGGCAAGCTTAAGGACGGTACTGTTTGGCCCGTGGGGGCTATCACGGGTCCCGTTTTGATAATATGAACTGTTCAATGTGTAGAACTTGTTGAATACTATATGCCTATAAAACATCACGTTGGTCGGATATCGCTAACTATATGATCAAATCAGTTTTGTATAAAAAAAAAGGATAGTGTTATAGTTAATGGTTGAAAAAAAAACTAATCCGATTAGATAACTATCGATATTCGATCAACGTGATTTTTCACAAACATATAGTACTCAACGAGTTCTACACATTGAACTGTTCTGATTAACAAAACGGAACCCGTGATGGGCCCCCATGGGCCGAACAACACCGTCTAGTTTAATGCCCAAAAAGGAAAGAATCATCTCCTATCCTACACTCTGCACATACACTCTGCACACGCTGCCCCTTACGCCTTCTGACTGTACGGCCTATTCCATTACAATCTTCTCCTATACACAAATTTATACAATTTTTTAGTACACATTTTTTCATAAAAAATCAAAAAATTTTTCCAAACAACCATATTTTTTCTCTCAACTTTTTAGTCTAAAAAGGTAAAAAGTACACTTATTGATGATATCCCAAACAACCCCTCGAAAAAATATAATAACTCTAATGAGTATTTTTGGGGGGATAACTAGGTGGCTTGGCTAATTTGCATGTGCACATTTCAACTAATTTTTAGTTCTTAAATTTAATAGCTGGGCAAATCTCTAACAGTAATGTTAGGTATTATGAAAAACCTTTCATGAAAGTAATCATGAAAGTTTTGTGACCCTTGAATTACTCATAGAATAAAACACCATACACTAATTGAGGTAATCCAAGGATCATAAATTTTTTATGATCATTTTCATGAAAAAAAATTTCATAATTCCTAACTTTTCTCTATCTCTAATAGCCTTTTGGAGTGACTGAAACTCTGAGATTTTAAATCTTAATATTAAGTTTTTCTCTGCTAAGTCAATACTTCTGAGGTTTAAGTCTTATGAGTTTAATGTAATTACATTGACACGTTTTTAATAAAATTACAATGACTATAATAAATGCACATAGTGTAAAAATAAAAAAATAAACAAAATAAAATATATCATAATGTAAAAGAAACGATAACGTATAAAAATGTAAAAGTGCGTTAAAAACAAAATGAGACAAATACCCCCCAAAAAATAAATGGAGAAAGTGTTCTTAGGAAGATCCTTACAAAGAAGACCACCATTTTTTATTTTTTCTTTTGGGTTCAAAATTTTATATGAACAGTTTAAAATTAAATAATAATCTGATATATGGCCCGTAGAAGTAACCTAAAAACGGTGATGACGGTAGACAAATATCTAGGTGGATGGACCCAAAAATTGAGTCTGTACAATTTGACAAAGTTGGTGGTGTTAAGTAATCAACCTTTTCAAGTTAACGTGGCGTATAAAACCCCCATTTCCATGTAGCTGTATCAACCCAAGGAAAACAAACACACAGAGAGAGAGAGAGAGAGAGCGAAATTATATATAAATATATGCAATACGCAAAGAGATAGGTAGTTGTAGGCTGATGAACTGCCTCAATTCTCACAGTACACAACAGTCAATCTACCTCCATCTTCCACACTTATATCCCCAAGAACCCAAAACTTGACAGCTTGGAAACAGAGAGAAAATTTGAGAGAGAGAGAGAGAAAGAGAGAACCCTAACAAAACATGGAGTCTGTTGTTTCACAGCTCGAAGGGACTCTTCTGAATGATCCTGACTCCTTCTCCTACTTCATGTTGGTAGCTTTCGAGGCGTCTGGGCTAATACGGTTCACCCTCTTGCTCATATTATGGCCAGTGATTCGGCTTTTAGAGGTGTCTGGAATGGCAGATGCTGGGCTCAAGCTAGCCATCTTTGTTGCCACTGCTGGGATTAGGGTTTCGGAGATTGAATCGGTGGCTAGAGCAGTTTTACCAAAGTTTTACATGGATGATATTGATATGGAGGCTTGGAGGGTGTTTAGTGCATATGACAAGAGAGTTGTGGTGACCAAGACGCCTAGGGTCCTGGTGGAGAGGTTCCTGAAAGAGCATCTTCGAGCCGATGATGTCATTGGCAGTGAACTTGTGGTGAACCGGTTCGGCCTTGCCACCGGTTTCATTAAGGATGGTACTGGTTCCATCTCCTCTGGCCGTGTCGCAGAACTGTTTGGGGATGAACAACCTAGCATGGGACTAGCAAGGCCTGAATCTGGTTCTTCACTTTTAGCTATATGCAAGGTGAGCTAACAATTATAATCTTAAAGAAAATGGTTGTAAAACTAGATTAACTAACTTTGAAATGCAGGAGCTACTTCACTAACTTGAGATAATTTCTTGGTTTATCTTTGATTTTTCAAAACTATGTTCATACTTGAATTTGATGACCAAATGTTTGTCCCGTTTAGGATTATTTTAGAAAGTGAGTTAAAAGTCACTTCTCAGCTTTTAACCTACTTTTCTCTTACAAAAAATGTCAAAAAAAATTAAAAAAAATAATTTTTAACCATCTTCCCAAAACACCCTTTGTTTGTCAACGACTTTTTTAGTTGACTTTTTGACTTTTTTTAATTTTTTTTAGTCTAGGACTTTTTTGTTTATTTGATATTCTTAATTGGCTTTTTTAATTTTTTAGCTTTGGAATGATGGATTTTTTTTTATCCTTTTGTAATTTTTGGTTTTCTGTGATTTTTAAACTTTTTTTTGTCCTTTTGTAATTTTTTAGCTCATCTCAAAAACCAAACAACCCCTTAGACAACTTTTGAGTACCACAAGGGATCTTTTTGTGAGGTCTCCAATACACTCTTATAGTAGGTGTTTGGGGTAAACTAAAAAAGTGTATTTTTTTAGTTTACTCTACTTATTTAGGTCAAATTAATTTATATCTATCAACATCTCTTCTTTATTTTTTTAATCACTTTCTCTACTTTTTTATATATATATTTTTTATTTATAAAAAATTAAAAAATATACTTATTCAGAACATGCCAAATCACCCTCTAATTAGATGATGCGGGTAAGAATTTTAAAATTAAAAAAATAATTATACAATTGAGGGTGCATTAAAGATGGAATGGCGAAAATTTTAACAGTAGATGAAGATCTTGTGCTTTTGAGATTCATCATATATAATTGAAAGTTGAGGGTAGCGTTTGATAGTGTTTTATAAATATGATTTGAAAATAGGAGTTATATTTTGAGTTTGTGAGTTTTGAAATTATGATTTAAGTGTGAAAAATTTGTTTGATGAATGAGTTTTGAAAGAGTCTTGAAAAGAGTTTTGAATTGAGTAGAGAATTTTTTATGCGACATATGATATTTGATACAAAAACTTACAACGCATAACCAAACACACAACCCAAAATTCTATTAAAGCTCACAATTTTTTTTTTTAAAATTTGAAACTTTTTTTTTTAATATATAAAAATTAAAATGTGTCAATTGCAAAAAATAAATAAATAAATAAAATAAAATAAAATTTGCACTGTTCCGGTTAACCGGTTTGACAACCGGTGGGACGTCGGTTAGGCCAAATTTCAAAAAAAAAAAATTGAAAATCACGCATGGCACAATTTTCTGCATAGTTTTCTGTTTGTTGTGGAAATATAGTTTGAAAACCCTATCCAAACATTATATTGGAATGTGTAGGTAAAATTATAATTTAAAAATCCATCCAAACACAGCCGAGATTGTCCTCTTCTGCTTTATGCAAAAAAAAGTTGATGCTAACAAGTACTTAAATCTATGACATGATAAATTACCAGGAACAATCCCATCCACCATTCGTCAACAACCAGAAGAACAACCACCAGCAGCAGCTCATCCGGCCACTGCCGGTGATCTTCCACGATGGTCGCCTCGTCAAGCGACCGACACCTTCAACAGCACTCCTAATCATCCTATGGATCCCCCTAGGCATCATACTCGCAACAATACGAATTGTGGTTGGTTTGGTATTGCCAATGCGGGCTACCCCATACATATCCCGACTATTTGGCGGCAAGGTCATCGTCAAAGGGAAGCCACCGCCCTCATCAGGTACCGGCCCCAGCTCTGGCGTTCTGTTCGTTTGCACTCACAGAACCCTAATGGATCCTGTGGTCCTCTCCTCCGTTCTCCAACGTAGAGTCCCAGCAGTCACATACTCCATCTCCCGACTCTCGGAGATCCTATCGCCCATACCCACCGTCCGATTAACCAGAATCCGCCACGTCGATGCTGAGAAGATCAAGCGAGAACTATCAAAAGGAGACCTTGTGGTGTGCCCTGAAGGGACCACTTGCAGAGAGCCGTTCCTCTTGAGGTTCAGTGCACTTTTTGCTGAACTAACCGATCAGATTGTGCCGGTGGCAATGAACTACCGGGTTGGCTTCTTCCATGCAACCACCGCTAGGGGTTGGAAGGGTTTGGACCCTATCTTCTTCTTCATGAACCCTAGACCAGTCTATGAGGTGACTTTCCTGAACCAGTTACCGCATGAAGCTACGTGCTCATCAGGTAAGAGTCCCCATGATGTGGCCAACTATGTTCAGAGGATCTTAGCGGCCACGCTAGGGTTTGAGTGCACAGATTTTACCAGAAAGGACAAGTACAGAGTGCTTGCCGGCAATGATGGAGTTGTGTCATATACTTCCAACACCTATGGGATTAAGAAGTTGGTGAATGGATTTAGGAATGTAGTGAGTGCTTTCAAGCCTTTCATTCACTGAACTAAGATTAGGTTTGTCCTTCTCTTCTTCTTTTTCTGCTTGATTGATCCTTTCTTCTGCAAAAAAAGGTTGAGTTTGTATTTTTTTTTTCCTTTGTTTTTTCTTTCCTTTATTATTTCCATGGAAGTAATGAATAATGTATTGTGCAAGAAAAAACAATTTTGTCAAGATGACTGATATTATTGGTGCTTATTATTTATGTTAACTATCCAATTTGGATCAAGAATATAACTGTTGATTTTTTTTTAACTTCATATTTAAAATTTTGGAAAAGTGATAACGGCTTTTTATTTTTTATTTTACTTCTATGAACTACTCTATTACGTGCAAATGAGTCAAATTGAGTAGAATAGTAAGGTGAAATGGTGCAATGCCCAGGAATCAGAGAAATGGAGCAGAATTGATAGAATTTTACTAAGTCCTGAATGGATGATTAATTTCTCAATGAAATTGTGGGGTTTGCCCAGGCTAATCTCAGACCGTTGCCCTTTATTAATGATGGAGGATACCAGAGATTGGGGGCCAAAGCCCTTCAGGTTCCTAAATGCGTGGACTCTTCACCCCAGCTTTGCTCAGTTATTTACCTCATCATGGTCAGATAACTCTTTTGTTGGATGGTCTGGGTATATACTCTCCCAAAAGCTAAAGCATCTGAAGCAAGTCTTAAAATCTTGGAACATTCAGGTGTTTGGCAATATGGCTTCTAAAATAAAATCTTCAGAAGAAGAGATACATGCTTTGGATATCACTGCAGAGGAAAGAGCACTGATTGCTTCAGAAAAGGCCAGAAGAAGGGAGGTTAAAGGTGAGTTGTGGAAGCTATACAGAATGGTAGAATGGATTTGGCATCAAAAATCCAAATTGAATTGGGCTATCAATGGGGACAAAAACAGTAGGTTTTTTCATGTGGTAGCAAGTTCTCGGTAGAATAGAAATCTCATCAACTCTATTTTAGTAAATGGAGTGTCCATTGAGGATCCTACTGGAGTTAGGCAACAAGTTCTCCTTCACTTTAAGGCCCAATTCTCTGAATCATGGGTTAAGAGGCCTTCCTTGTCAGGGGTATTTAACACCATTGACCCGGAATATGTCTCCCAACATCTGGTAGCTGAGTTCAGTGCAGCTGAGGCACTTGCAGCTATCAAAGACTGCAACAATAACAAAGCTCCAGGCCCTGATGGGTTCAACCTACTGTGTTATCAAAAATTCTAGAAGGTTATGAAGCTGGACATAATGCAATTTTTCAAAGAGTTTCATGCTAATAGCAGGCTTGCATATGGCATCAATAGCTCATTTATCACCTTTATTCCTAAGGTGGACAACCCTATTGGTCTAACTGATTACAGACCTATTAGTCTGGTGGGATCTATTTACAAAATTTTGGCCAAGGTCCTAGCATTCAGATTAAAGTCAGTGCTCCCCTCAATCATTGGTGAAACACAGACAGCATTCTTGGGAGGGAGAAATATTCTGGATGGGGTGTTTATCGCTAATGAAGTAGTGGATGGTTGGAAGAAGGCAAAAAAAAAAGGGTTGATTCTCAAATTGGATTTCGAGAAAGCTTTTGACTCTGTCAACTGGGAATTCTTATTTTCTATGATGGCCAGCTTTGGTTTAGGGGATAAATGGACCACTTGGATGAAGACATGTGTCTCTACAGCTAGAATCTCCATTCTAGTGAATGGCTCACCAACTGAGGAATTTTCACCCCATAGGGGCCTTAGGCAGGGTGACCCGCTCTCTCCTTTTCTATTCAACATTGTGGCGGAAGGACTCAACATTCTTCTAGTCAGAGCCCTCAATCTCGGTATTCTCAAAGGGGTAGTTGTTGGATCTAACCATGTTCTAATCTCACATTTGCAATTTGCCGATGATTCAATCCTTTTTTGTGAAGCCGATAGTGATCAATTGGTATCCATTAAAAGGGTCCTCAGATGCTTTGAAGTACTATCTGGTCTCAAAATTAACTACCATAAGAGTGTTGTGTGTGGTGTTGGCATAGATGAAGGTTGCCTAAACACTTTTGCTTCCCTTCTCAATTGCAAAGTGCAGAGTCTTCCATTAAAATTTCTGGGGCTGCCTCTAGGAGCAAATCCGGGAAGGAAATCTACTTGGAAGCCTGTAATTGAAAAAATCAAGGCTAGACTGTCAGGTTGGAAAAGAAAACTGTTGTCCTTTGCTGGTAGATTAACTTTAATCAAGTCTACTCTATCTAGTTTACCCATTTACTTTCTTTCCATGTTTAAAATGCCTGAAGGAGTGGCTAAGGAAATAGAAAGGATAGAGGCTGCTTTCTTATGGGGTAGTAGTGATCTTAAAAGGAAAGTTCATTTAGTGAAATGGGAGGAGGTTACAAAGAGAATTGATCAAGGGGGACTAGGCATTAGAAGGGTCAGAGATGTTAATGTTTGTCTCCTTCTCAAATGGTGGTGGAAATTTGGAAACCAAACTAATGCTCTCTGGAGGTCAATTGTGTGCAGCAAATATAAAATTAACAACTCTTGTTGGCTTCCTCCTTTGAGTCCCTCATACAAGCATTCTAGAGTCTGGAGGGACATTCTCTCTCTTGGGGCTCTCAATAGGCCTATCTTCAATTTCTTTGTGGGCAAATGTGGCTTCAAGGTTGGGAATGGTATTAGAATCAGATTTTGGTTTGAAAGATGGTGTGGTGGCCTTTGTTTGAAATCTTCTTTTCCTCTCCTTTTTAATTTGTCAACTGATAAGGAAGGCTCCCTTAATCATTATTTCACAAGGAGGTCAGGTCCATTTGTTTGGAATCTCCCCCATAGAAGAGAGCTTTATTCATGGGAATTGGCTGAAGAGTTGAGATTGAATGCTCTCTTATCCTCTGCTCCATCTCTGTGTTTGGATTGTGAAGACTGCTTACTCTGGTGCACTGATTTTGGTCATAACTTCTCTGTTTCTGCTCTTTATTCTCACCACTCATCTCTCCTTGGCCCTCACCTCAAGGTTACCAAATTTGTTTGGAACTCATTATTGCCCCCTAGAGTATCTTTTTTTACCTGGCTAGCCTGGAAATCTAGAATCAAATGTTTTGACTTTCTGCTCAAGATTGGTTCTCTTGACAGTAATGCTCCACCCCTCTACCACTTTTGCAACTCTGAGGTAGAAACTGCTCCCCATGTACTGCTGCATTGCTCTTCCTCTTGGTCAATCTAGTCAGTAGTTATTGAGGAATGAGGCCTACATTGGTATATTCCTAAGTCTGTAGATGGTCTGTTTCATTGGTGGATGAGTTGGAAATTCTATAATTTTGACAGACTAATCTGGTGAGCAACCCCCTTAATTGTACTATGGTCTATTTGGAAACTCAGAAATGATTGTGTATTTTCTAATGCACAACCCTCCTCTTCAGGACTGCTAGACCTTATAAAATTCAGATCTGCCATTTGGCTCAAAGCTTCCATTAAGGAATTCCCATACTCAGTTGATGATCTTATCTACAATTGGAGACAGATCAGGGGTGGAGTTTAGTGCTCCGGATTCTGTTTAGAGCTATCTGGGTTGATGTTGTCTGTTGCAATGGTGTTCTGTTAATGTCTGCTGGATTCTGTTTTGTTCATGTGTGCTTATTCTGTTCTGTTCTGGTTTGTTCTGTCTGCTGTGTTCCATCTGCCTTTGCCTTCTATTTCTGCAGTGTCTTGTTCATGTCTGCTGGTTTGTTCTATCCGTGTACTGGCAGTTCTGTGTTGGGAGCTGGTTTGATCTATCTGTGTACTGGGAGCTTTATTTTGGTCAAAACACATGCCCTGCCTGCTGCTATGTTTTGGTCTGTGGGTGCCTCCGAACAGTTCTGTTTTGTGATGTTGGGTGCTGGTTCTACTGGCAGTTCTGTTGGGCCAAAGAACAAGCCCTGTCTGCTGTTTTGTTTTGGTCTGTGGGTGCCTCTGCAGTATTGCTGTTCTGTTTTTGGAGGTTTGGGAAGGCTACTGATCTGTTGCAATGGTGGAGGTTTACTATTTCTGCAGTATTGCTGTTCTATTAGTCTGTCTACTTCCAGTTACTTTGTTTGATGCTTTCATTTATTCTTCTGCTTTCTTTTGTTGATGCCTCACCAACTAGGCGCTTGGATCTTCTTCTTAGCTCTAAGCTCCTCTCTATTGATGTAATATTTCATACTTTGTTTGTTTCATCAATATAGATTTTGTTTAGCTGATCAAAAAAAAGAAAAAAAGATATTTATGTTAACTATCCAATTTGGATCAAGAATATAACTGTTGATTTTTTTTTAACTTCATATTTAAAATTTTGGAAAAGTGATAACGGTTTTTTATTTTTTATTTTACTTCTATGAACTACTCTATTACGTGCAAATGAGTCAAATTGAGTAGAATAGTAAGGTGAAATGGACTAGCCCGAGCAGAGGGTGGATCAGGTCAATGTATGTGGAACGTACCTTTCCATTCTTGGAGCATCGCATACGGGCTAATTATTTTGTAATTCTAAAGTATAGACACATGGTATTTTATAATATTGTAATTGGTAAAAAAAATAAGTAAATTGGATATTATGTTAAGTGATTAGGAAATATAAAAAGACATATTAAATGATGATTGATTAAGACTGTACGAACATATGATACTCCAAGAATATTGAATAATTTCATACGTTGGACACGATCTCACATCAAGCATAACAATAAGGGGAGTCCCTAATATCTCTCAACGAACCACAGGGCCAGTAGGGACACTAATTTAGAAGAACATAAATACATCAAAAATATTAGAGGCCCAAAAAATTCTACTAAAAGTTTACCAAATGTCTTACATGGGTGTGTGACCCACATGAGACCCACATTGTGTGGGTCTCACACCCATGTGAGACATTTGGTAAAAATTTTTGTAGAATATTTGTGGTCTCTAGCATTACTCTAAATACATTAAACCAAGTGCACAATTACAATCACTCAGAATCAATTACTCTACGACATTTTCAACAATATCTTTGATTTAGGCATCGAAGAGTTCTCTTGACTAAGGCTTGGTTTGGGATGTTAGAAAAAATTCAAAAAGTAAAAAGTTTTTAAAAAACAAGTAAAAAAGTCATCACTATTTACAAATTAAAAATATAAAAAATTAATATACATAATATTTTAATACAAACTAACTTTATACTGTGAAAGGTATTAAATTGATGGGAAAGTACCGTTAAAGGAACAAAAAAAAAATACATATATATATTCACTAAGTTGGACGGTAAAGT